CCAGGGAGAGACAGCCTTGATGGCCTAGCAGTTAAAGTTCAGTACATTCCACTTCGGAGGTCCAGGTTTGGTTTCCGGGCATGGAACTACACCGCTCGTCTATCAGTAGCCATGCTGTGGAGACGGCTCACACAGAAGAACCAGAAGAACTTACAACTATAGACAACTATGTCCTGGGGCTTGTGTGTGTGTGTGTGGGGGGGGGGGTGGTGGTGAAGGGGTGCAGCAGAATGGATGGAGGAAAAAAGGAGGATGACTGGCAACAGATGTTAGCTTAGGGAGACTTTTCCCCTAAAAAAAGAGAGAGAGAGAGAGAAGAGCCAGAGAAATGGGACACATTCTCAAGAAAAAAGAAAATCAGTTGAGACCAACCCTGAGATGACAAACATGACATAGGTGATAAGGATTTTAAAGCAGTTGCCAATAACTATCCTCAATGTAGTAGAACAAAATATCCCAGCAATAGATAAAACATGGAATCTCAGCAGAGAATTGAAAGCAATAAAAACAGAAAGTGAAAATTCTAGAACTCAAAAAAATATAATATTTGAAATAAAATATTGCTATATGGACTTAGCCAAATGAAAGTTACAGATAATGAAGTTGAAGCTAAAGATAGCTCCTTAGAAATGATCCAATATTAAGAACAGTTTGGGGAAAAAAGATTGAAAAACAAGAACATAGCCTCAGAGAATAGTTAGATAACATCCAATGGTTTCACCTTGTGTAATTGCAGCCCTAGGAAGAAAGGAGAAAGATTATAGAGCAGAAAATAATGAGAAAAAATAATGGCCAAGTGTTTCTCCCCGTGCCACATTTAGGATTTCTGAATTTCTACAAGTTAAGGCTCTGAGTAATTAAGTATCTTATCACACAGGAGACAGAGCTATGATTTCACTATGAGTTTCCCTAGATTTGAGGTAGATGCTCTTAATTACCCCACTATTCTGCCTTAATAATAGGTGTGTATTAAATAAACAAGTAAAAGAAACTCCGAAAAGCAAAACAATATAATCAATGGTATTTTCAGTGCAAGGAATCAAGTCTTACAAGACAAAAAATCACCTAAATCAAGTTTGTGTGATGAAATTGAACTCTTGAAATTAGATCAAAGTGCTATGATAGGTTTATTTTATTTTATCCCTTTAGTGTAGGCCTAACCTGTCCAATACATAGCAACTAGCCACATTTTAACTTAAATTAGTTAACAGTAAACTTAAAAATCAGTTTCCCACTCCCACTGACCACATTTCAAGTGTTCAATAAGCACATGAGGCTGGTGGCTATCGTATTGAACAGCACAGATTATAGGATGTTTCTTTCCTCACAGAAAGTTTTATTGGATAGCTCTGTTCTAGAATACTTGTGATTCAGTGAACTTTCTCTTTTCCCAGAGCCCTGAATCAACAAGGACACCACATTTTGTTTCCTCTGCTCTGAATCTTAAAAAATTGTCTAAGCATATTACAGAGAATCATTAAGATTTTTAAGCAAATGTTAAAAAAGAAGTTTAATAGCACAGACCCAACACTCGGCAGATGATTTCCTTGGTGACCCTCCTCTTAGGGTCGCACTGTGTTCTACTGCTGACCTCCCACTGCTCTGTGTCCTCGGCTGCCTGACACACTCCTGACTTTTCGGACCCTTCCGTTGTACCAGGACCATCGCCAGTCCCCCCTTCACTCATTCCAGTGCTCCGTGCCAGGCAAGAATGGATTGACTACGGGTATAATATGATACGAGATATGAGAAATATCTACAACTTCTCACAGTTAAAAGACACTTTCCAGAGAGCTCTTAAAGATGAACTTTGGCTAAGAATTTCCAGCCTCATGGAAAGTCAAAGAGTGCTTAAAGGAGCTGTTTGTCACATCTTGCCAAGGAGGACTGGTGGTATTCCTACGTCTATGCTCTTCCCAATTAATCACTTACGTCTAGAGAAAATAATTCTGTTGCATTGATTAAACGCTAATTCAAAATTTTTTTCTTAAATATAAATGTACCAGATAGTACCAAGTCCCATTTTTAAATTTCACTAGACCAGGGTTCTTGGATTCTACCATATCCTGCTTTTCTTTGTGTTAAATAATTCATGCGGAGATGTTATTAGGGCAGAAATAGGTTTAGCAACTATTCTGACTTGTCAAATGGTCTCAGAGAGTGGGCTGGTTTGGGGTGGGGATGTGATAGGCAGATGTAAGTATCTTTGCAGATGTTCAATGGATAGCCCTGCTTAAAGGTGGACTGCCACAGTTTTTGTAATGTTTTTCTTTCTTCTTCCTCCCAAAGCCCCCCAGTGCATAGTTGTATATTCTAGCTCTGCTATGTATGATGCCACCTCAGCAAGGCTTGATGAGTGGTGCTAGGTCCAAGCCCAGGAACCAAACCAGTGAAACCCTGGGCTGCCGAAGTGGAGCGTGTGAACTTAACCACTTGGCCACGGGACCGGCCCCAGTGTTTGTAATCTTGATGACTAGAAGTATTTGGAGACCAGAAGCAAACATTGGCTTAAAATGCAGAACTCGTTTCCTGTCTCAGGAACCAGAGAATCAATGCATCTTTGGGGCAAATGGGTCTTCATTTTTGAGGGAAAATAAGTAGAACAACAACTATAATTAGCCACTCAGATATACTGTCATCTTATGTTCTGTTATTCCCAGAGAAATCCTGAAGTCACCAGATATACAAATGTAGACAGTAAGTGTCATGCTTTGGGAGTGTAAATGGTAGCATCACGTTAAATAGGCCTGCATCAGGAGACCGTTTGCACTGGGAGCCACGATGGAGGGGGAAGGGAGAGGTTGATGGGGCTGGGAACCTGACCTGCTGCTGTGGAGACAGTTCATTCAGCTGACGGGGTGGGGTTTGAGAGGGGCTTGCACAGATGATGAGCGGAAATGGACACACGAAAGCTCCAATTTTTATTCTTTGCATTTTATTATTTTTTTAATTGCAGTAACATTGGATTATAACAATATATACCTTTCAGACATACATTGTAATATATTTCGAATTCTGTGTAAATTAAATTACTTCTTGTAAAATATTGGGTCTCTCTTTCCATATTCATCTCTGTGTGAGTATAATTTTTTTCCGAACCGTCTGAGAATACATTGAATACATCATGGCCCTTTAGCCCTACATATTTCACTAATTTAACATCATACTACACTTTGACCAACTGCCATTTTGTCAACTGACCCAGGAATATATTCTATTCCAGGATCACATAGTTCTTTTAGTTGTTTAGCCCTTTAGTCTCATTTCGTCAGTCTTTTAAGACACAGACATTTTTGAAGAATATAGTCTTCCCTTCTCCCACTGTTTAAAAACATAGTGTTTCTCTTTGTCTGACCTTTCTTCATGACGAGACCCCGGTTATGCCTTCCTGACTGGACCACTATCCACATCATCTTGTGTGCTTCTCAGGGTACTTACCTGGAGGCACCCTTGGCCAGCGGCTGCTGAGGGTGATGTTAATTGCAATCACCTGGTAAGGTCTTGTTTGATTTCTCCACTCTAGAGCTGCTAGTTTTTCTGCTGCAATTAATAAGCAATCTCTGGGAGATGATGCTTTAAACCACACAAATACCCGGTTATCATCAAAATTCCCCTCCTTTCCCACTAGATTTAGCATCAATTGACGATTCTTGCTTGAATCAATATTAATGTGATGGTTCCAAAATTATGATGTTCCAACTCAAGCACTCTGTCCATGTGTATCAGTCTGCCCTTAGGATTCTACTGGAAGGAAGAGCCCTCCTTTATCTGTCTGTTTGTCTATCTATCACATATTTATCTACCTACCTATGATCTATCATCTATCTATCGATCGATCTATCTTGCTATCATCTTCCATCTATCAATATCTATCATTAATATGGCCTCATGAATTCCCTTTCTTTTCAATGGCTTATAATTTTTGACTCTCCCTAATTATTCTGGCACTCAAATTGCCCCTAATTTGACCAGTGGGAATCCGCTCATGTTGGCAACAATGTTCTTATGAAATGCTCCAAAATTTTTTTAATCTCTTCCTTCATTTCTGATATAAAAATATGTTCCAGTTTCTTTCTGTACCTTCCCCGTCCCATCGCCTGGATGAACCATTTCTTTGAGAAGCCCTAGACCCCTTTACTGGTGAAGAGCATTAAGCACCAAGGTGTGGGTCTCAGGGGTGCTCATTACCGACAAGTGTCTTTGCTTCTCGGGAAGGGCACGTTTTTAGACATCCATAAGACTGAAGGCTGCTCTTTTAGGGCCAGAGTATGAAGACCCGAGGAAGGGGTCACTCTCCTTTTGACAACAGCAGCATTACTTGGGCACCAGTGGAGTGGGGAGTTCTAAAGCTTAAGGAGACAGCATCCGTTACGCAGACACTCAGACTCTCAGGTGGGGCACCATCTTCGGTGGCAATGGTGCAATTCCTTTAGCCAGCTTGAGAGTAACGCAAGAGATGTGGTGGAATTTATGAGGAGAGCTGGGGCAGAAGAAGAAAATATGAGCAGGTATCAAACGGTGATTTTATTGGGGAGACTGATGTGTGAGCACATGGATGCTCCCATCTGGGACATTCCAGGAGTAACTGGGAGACATTTACAAAGAGGAGACTTAAGTTTATGCCATCCAACCAGGGAGGGCTTAAGGAAGTATACACTGGGAAGCAAAATAAAAAATGAATTGATTTAAAACTTGCAGAATAGTGAAGCTTGCAAATACCACAGGTGTATACACACACCCCACACATACACAAACCTTTAAAATTCATAGACTAGGGAAGACTATTACCTGGAGAGTACAGACATATCAATAAAGGATTTACACGTGCACGCACAAAGCTTTTTCTAGGATCCTGCACTTTCAGCAGAGGCCAGATGTGTGGTGCGCGATAAATGGCAATAAAAGTAGTCCAGTCTGTAGTTGAAAGATTAAGATTTAGGTCCAAGGTTGCATCTTTTTCATGCTTAAATGAAGTAAAGATTAATTATTCACTATTCTTTGGTGAACTCTGTGAACCATCTTAAGATTGTATGCCTCAGTATAAAAAAAAAACTCAAGCACCTACAGAAGCCAATTTGATCCCTGTTTGAACCTTGGATGACTTGGCAGGAATCATTTCCTTCCAGAAACGTGGTTAATCGAGAAACTCCCCTCCAGACCATCCCAGGTGTCGCCTACTCCTCTGAGGGAGTTTTAAAACTAGACCATTTTTTAAGGATGGGAAGATAAGGGGCTCGGTGAGTTGCTGCTTATTCTAATCCATCTTATTGATTTTAGACAACTCAAACTGGCCATTAGCGTGGAATATACGTACACGCTGATTATATTAGCATCAATTTGACAACAATAGTTCTTCAAATCACCCCAAGCTGTCCAAACCTGGAATGAATATAAAAAGAAAAAACAGAAACTCCGAAAAGATCCGCAATATAAGAAATATGCTCCCCAATTAAGTTTCTCAAGCTATTATAAGTAAATGTTTCCTCGGTCTTCACACTCTATACTATAGGGATTTTTGAGGTTATAATTTGAAGGAGATGTAATTTATTTCTTCCTTCTTGAAAAAAATGAGGTACAGTTTGTCACTGCTGTCGAAGCAGCTGCTCAAGGGAGAGTACTTGGTACATAAAGCTCAGTCTTAGGTGGCCTAATTAGTTCTCGACTTGGGTGGTTACAGGTGAGGTTTCAGAAGGTAAAGAAACACAAAAAAGGAATTTTCTAACGATTAGCCAATTACATTCTATAACATATATAATGATAATATAAATGATTGGACTAAGTGTATTGCCAGCCATTTATTTGGTACTAAATTTGACTATAATTTTAATGGTTTTCTGCCACAAGTTCCCACTCTAAATATATTAAAAACTTGGGAATCCTTTTTGGAAAGACCAAGGTGTTATAAGTTTATGCCAAAAAATAAAAGGTAGAAAATTTCCTAACTTTCATTTTAACCAGAGATTTTTTTCTCTTCCAGAAACCTTTGAAATCGCCATCTCTTTCTTGTTTTGAATTGCCGCCATAGGGAATTTGAGAATTTTAAAATAATCAATCAAGAAGGCGATGGCGGACACTTTCTCCCAAGCTGCAGCTGTGGAGCTCTGCTACGAGAACGTGAATGGATCCTGCGTGAAAACCCCTTACTCGCCAGGGCCCCGAGCAGTTCTGTACGCCGTCCTCGGTGTGGGGGCCCTGCTGGCCGTGCTGGGAAACTTACTGGTCATTATTGCCATCCTCCACTTCAAATAGCTGCACACACCTACCAACTTCCTGATCGCGTCCCTGGCCTGCGCTGACTTCTTGGTGGGGGTGACAGTGATGCCCTTCAGCGCCGTGAGGTCTGTGGAGAGCTGCTGGTACTTTGGGGAGAGCTATTGTACATTTCACACGTGTTTTGATACTTCCTTCTGCTTTGCTTCTTTGTTTCACTTATGCTGCATCTCTGTCGATAGATACATTGCTGTTACTGAGCCTCTGACCTATCCAGCCAGGTTTACTGTCTCCGTGTCGGGAATATGCATTATTCTCTCTTGGTTCTGTTCGCTCACATACAGCTTCTCTGTCTTTTACACGGGGGCCAATGGAGAAGGCATCGAGGAGCTAGTAGCTGCTCTCACCTGTGTAGGGGGCTGTCAGGCTCCACTGAATCAAAACTGGGTGCTCCTGTGTTTCCTTCTCTTCTTTACGCCCACCGTTGCCATGGTGCTTATATATGGTAAGATATTTTTGGTGGCTAAACATCAGGCTAGGAAGATAGAAAGTGCAGCCAGCCAAGCTCAGTCGTCTTCCGAGAGTTACAAGGAAAGAGTCGCAAAGAGAGAGAGAAAAGCTGCTAAGACGTTGGGTATTGCTATGGCAGCGTTTCTTGTCTCTTGGCTACCGTACATTATTGATGCCATGATTGATGCTTATATGAACTTTATAACTCCTCCCTATGTTTATGAGATTTTAGTGTGGTGTGTTTATTATAATTCTGCTATGAACCCCTTGATATATGCTTTCTTTTACCCGTGGTTTCGGAAGGCAGTAAAACTTATTGTAACTGGCAAAGTCTTAAGGAGTGATTCATCAATTATTAATCTGTTTTCTGAGGAAGCAGATATAGATTGAGAAGATTACTGCAGGGATTTCAAAACCAACGTGGAATGAAGGTCAAGCTCAACATTGACCACTTGGCTCTAGAGGGTCAAGTGTCATCATTTGCCAACTCGGAGGATGTTTGATCTGAAGCATTGGTCGTCTACATCTATGTTGGCTTTTTTTTTTTTCGAATTTAGTGAGTGATAAATAAGATTTGCTGATTATTTCCCATTTAGTATTCTTCTATGTTTTTTTGATTCTCTACCTTTTTCTCTGAAATTTCTCCTTGTTTCTTCAAATAATTTTAAGTTTTGTAGTTTCTTCTGTATTTGTTACCAATATTCAGTTGTTCAAAATACACAGAGGGGGAAAAAAGCTCCTGTGTAACTTGTAAGTTAGATTCTTTGGGGACAAAAATCCTCTTTAAGGTATGTTTTGTTTGAGAGGTAAGTACAAGATCATAAATTCTTGCAACTTTTTTTAATCTAAAGGACTTTATAGAGAGCTGCCATGTGGAACTTCCCTCATGTTGTAGATTGGGGAACACTGGTGCTCTTGTGGTTTTGAACACTAGCAACGCTTCCTCTCCATCTCATAGTCACTGTTTCACACACATACGGTGATTATACGGTTACACACTGTCTACTTTTGGAGAACATAATTTATTATGGTCAAATGAGCATGTAGACAGAAGGATGGCTTCTGTATTCCTTTTTAGTAATTTGAAATAAAATAAGAATTTTATAAAAAGGTTAATTCGAATTCACATTTTTTCACTTTTGAGTTCTTTCTTTGTACCAGACACTGTATTTGGCATTTGAAATATAAAACCGAGTGACTCCAATATAGCCAAGGACTATTTCAAAATAGCAAATACTCAAAGTGGTGTTACACACTGTAGAAATAGTTTCAGTTTTCTCATCTGAGGACAGTTCTTACTCACATGAATTTTAATTCATTTTAATTAAAAATATATGTTGAGTGTTTTAAGATAGAGTAGAAATTTGGGGAAAAAAATTAACAATAGGGTGATTTACCTTTTCAAGTCTTCACACATAGCCTTGAATCTCTGTTTAGGTGGCTCATTTTAGACTATCACGTGACAAGCTTGTTTCACGAAATGTAAAGAAGAGGTAACTGAGTAAATGGAGCTACATAAACATTACATGTTACACGGTTTATAAATGAGCCGGTTTGGAAAGATTTTATTTCCAAAGCCTAAGCTGTTTCATATTTGCACATTAATACCTTCATTGAGAATATTTAGGAGAAAAAATGTTGAAGATAAAAGAGAATGAAAGGAATATAAAAGTTTTCGTAGCAGAATGCCTGTTTGTGATTCATGTCAAGGAACAGGTCTGCGGACCACCTTACAAATGTCACAATCAAGGTCCCCCACTCTCACTCCTGAAGAAGAGCTCAAAGCCTGTGTCCCTTTGACAGTGAGGCAGCAGTGTTGCCATCACAGAAGTGTGTTCCTTCCCTCATTCGCAGGTGTAAACTTATGCTGACAATCATAAATAATGAGGAAATCATTCAGGGGACTTAAAAAATATATATACTATTCTGTTCCTTTGCACTGCATAGGGTGTAATCTTTAGATGAATTGACTGCAGAGATAAATCCTGTCCAGAGATGTATGCAAGCTCTCTTTCACATCAGTAAGTGGAGAATGCACTTCACATTTACTCTTTCTTATTTATTTTTCTATTCTCCTTGGAGCCCTTCATAAAGGAAGTCTTTTGATAAAAAAAAAAAAAACACTTGGTTATTTCCCCCAAAACTAACTAGACGATGACTACAGCACCACACCTCTCTTCTGCATCTCATGTTTATGCAAATTTTCTGTTAACTCCTTGGCTAGCTGCACACCAAATTGCTGTGTACTTTTTATTTGCTGGTAACTCTTTGTCCACGTTATTTCAACACCTAGGACAGTGCTGTGCACTTAGTAAATCCCTAAGATAGTTTTTAAGCAAATAAATGAGTAATTCTTCTTTATTTTCACCCATCAAAGAACTGTTAGTCTTTTGCATTAAGAAAAAACAAGCTGCCTTGGGGCCAGGCTGTGGCCTAGTGGTGAAGTTCAGTGGGCTCTGCTTCAGCAGCCTGGGCTCAGCGCTGGTGCAGGCCTACACCACTCGTCAGCAGCCATGCTCTGGCAGCGACCCACTTATAAAATAGAGGAAGATTGACACAGATGTTAGCTCGGGGTGAACCTTCCTCAGCAAAGAAAAGAAAAGCCTGCCTCATTCGTCATTTGGTTTTCTAAAATAGAAAAGTTCTAATAATCACTGTTTAGGAGAAAATCCAGCTTTAGGCTATGGACAGGGTTTGTCTAACCCAATCACTAAAAAGTAATTTTATATTTAATGAGAAAAAGTGCTGGAACACGTAAACTTTTGTAATATTGAGTCTCTTTACCTGAAGAGAGTGCACACGAGGTGACACATCAGAGACTTCCTGCAAGGACTGTAAGTGTCAAGTTCCTTTTGGAAACACGCACCTTCTTTCATCCGCAGAGGCTACACCGTGTCCAAGTCCAGACTGAGGTCCCAGAGCCAGGCCACCCGGGTTTGAATCCCGTCTCTACCATTGACTAGCTTCCACCGTGGTCAAGTCCTTACCCTTTGTCTAGCTCGGCTGCTCACCTGTAACGTGGAAATGACAGCAGCATTCTCACTGAGGTTTTGTGCAAGACAACAGTGACTCAAAACAGGTCTGTGGGTTTTGGAGCCCAGAGAGCTGATAAATAAATCTCCAGATCACAGAAATACTGTTTGCTTCACACTTTGTAAATGTTCGCAGTAGAAGGAAAATTATTAGGATGTTTTGTTTGAGACACTTTCACAACATGCCTTTGTCAGGTGAATTCTGTGAAGTCGCACCATCTAGCCTTTTAACCAAAAGGGCCACTTGGCTTGGTATACAGTGTTGTGAAAACATATTATTTCATAATTAGAAATTAGACTTCAGGAAGAGCTGCAGGGTTCTGTGGGAAGAGGCGCTCAGCTGATTCAGAAAGCGACATGAATTCAAAAGTCAATCTCTGCGCTAATCATTTCACAGTACACAGAAGTCAAACCATTGTGCTGTCCGCCTTAGACTTATGCAGTGACGTGTGTCAGTTATTTCTAAATAAACTGGAAAAAAAAGTAAGTCCTTCCTGGAGTGGTAATAACTCTAAGTTTCCATATGTGGAAGAGACAGCAGAAATACGTATATGCAAATTAAACATTACATATATCTACATAAATAAAAGGACATTTGAATAAACCTGCCTGTGCTACATTCTTATATGTGGATTTTCAGAATTAATGTTTGTTTTTCTTATTGTTACTATTAATTGTAGGAATTATTGATGAGGAAACAACCTCCGGAGAGACTGCGTGCGCCACATGCTGGGGTTGCATGTTTAGACCCATGTCCGTCTGTCTTCAAAGCCAATGCTTTACTGCCATTGTGGACCAGTCAGAAACCAACAGCATTTCTCCGAAACGAAAGCGCATAGTCTGTCTTTTCGGGCATTACATAGGAGCTGACATTTATGCTTTATTCTGTTCACACACACACACACACACACACATTAAAAGTTGAAGGGATAAGCACTCAACTGTGTCTAATGGTAAAGGGCAATGTTCCACCAGTTTCTAAGGGCAATTCCAGGCTAAGGACTACAGACCACTTTAAAGATAAGAATATACAAGGCTCCTGTTATGACTCATCTTGGTCAAATTTACAGGGCAGGCAAAATCCGCCTGGTACTCCTCACCTGCCCTGTCTCTACTTTCTCCCCTCTCCTAGGAGCTCCTTGGCATCGCTGGCTGTGGTCAACTTACTTGCACTGTGTCCTTTCTCACCTGTAATATGAGCTGCTAAACAATAACTATTGGAGGAATGAGTTAAATTGTTCGTATGGACACATTAACGATAAAGCTCACCAGTCTCAGAGGGTTTCCCTTTTGAGCTGGTAGTAGGTGAAGGCACAAGAGAAATTTTATGGGACACTCTGAGAGAAGTACTTTACAAAAAGAATAGAACACTAAGAGTGAACTTTCTAGAAGGCAAGATTTCTTCAGGTGGGATAAGTTCCCAGTGTCATTCAATTAGTATCAGTTAGACAAAACCAAAGGTTCACCTTGTACATCAATTATACTTCAATAAAAAAAATGTTTAAAACACCAAAGTTCCTCCTATTGGGAAGATTTTCCCTCTCCACTCTCATCCAAGGCCAATACTGAGGAAGTTGGTAACGCAACTGCTGCCCATTTTTGGTTTGAACCCACACACAGAGACAGCCTATCTGAAAGTCAGGCTAGAACTTTTCCTCCTCTTCAGGTTGCTGAACTGTGAGATGGAGGGTGCTGGTGCAACTGTGGTGGGTAACGGGCTCTGGGCTCACGCCCTCTGCCCTGGCTCAGGCTTGGTCCCAGGTGCATCATTTCCATTTTACAATGAATTCTGCTGGACCCACCCAACTTTAAGACTTGGAAAATCCAACAAGACCCACTTCATGATGGGCAGTTAAAGACACATGATCACTTGATGTCACATGGGCAAATTGTCCATCATGACCTGGGCTCAGTAGCACACAAAAGCCATCTTCAAAAGGCGTTTTATCCTCCACTGTACATAGCATGGCCTTGCTCCAGAATCTTGAGGAATGTGTTGTGTTTCTCCCACCGAAGCCTCCCGTTGTATCTACACTGCATCTATTTCCTCTACTAACATCTCCAGCACCCCCAAGGTCACTAAATTTATGGCAATTATACTGCAGCCCAGACCCATTGCAGAGCCTTCTCCTGCTCCAAGCCCCAACAAAACTGGCAGACTTCTTTGTTACCCAGTAAATGGACCAGAGCAGCATTCCTGAGTGTGGAGTGTGTTGTTTCCGGCTCCTGAACAATCTACCAGGTATTGTGCTTCCTTCTTTGCCATACAGGATACAAGATGCCATCAATTCGCTTTGACTGGGATGAGACATCCCTGATTACTTTAATGAAAGAGAGAGTCCCTGAGTCTTCTAGGCCTTATGTCCAAACTTCTAGGGAACATGTATCTTTCCAAGGCTAGGGACCAGGTGTCTACTGTGCTAGGTACCACTCGCTCATCCTGC